AGACGTCCTTCCTCCAAATTCGCATCGACAGCAGCATAGATCTTAGCCGCAGCCTGCTCCTCGCCCTGGAACTCCAACATCAATGCGACACTTCGAATCGTTGCGATTGGGTTGGCAATGCCCTTTCCTTGAATATCAGGGGCCGAGCCGTGGCATGGCTCTCCGATGGCGAAGCCTTCTCCAACATTTGCGCTCGGTACCAATCCCAGACTGCCCACTAATGCCGCGGCACCGTCTGAGAGGATATCTCCGTACAAGTTTGGCGCAACAATGACATCGTATGAGGCTGGTTCACGGAAGAGTTTGTAAACCATGCTGTCCACAATTTGCTCATCGATCTTGACCATTTGGAATCGGTTCTGTTCTAGCGCTTTCCTGGCAGTTTCCCGAAACAGTCCATCTGTTTGCGAAAGAACATTGCTCTTATGTGTGATTGTAACCATCGGTCTTGAGTGTATACTCTCGGCGCCCGCATCGCGGATCCTCTGCCTCCTCAATGCAATGTCCCCAGCCATCGAAGAGATGTTAAAACTGGCCTTTTCCGATATCCTCTTGATTGCTTCCGCAACTTTGCCTTCGGGTGTGTCATACGTCTTCTCTTCTTTGACGTACAGATCCTCAGTGTTTTCGCGAACAATGACGAGGTCGACAGGTGATTGGCCGCGGACGGATTTGACAGGACGGACATTGGCGTAAAGCTGGAGGCGCTTGCGAAGGGCGACGATGGGCGATGAGTATCCCTTAGTCTGGACAGTGGGCGAGCTATAAAGCAATTAGCTTCTGAACCTTCATCTTCGACTGCGCAATCGAGCTGTCTTTCCGTCTCTTGTCCTCCTCTTGGCCAGGCCGACAAATATCTCGCAATAATGCCCAAGTGACTGCCGCCTCCAAGGCCTCATAGCACACCCCATACCTTTTATACCGCTCTCTCCTCCTCACTTCCCACAGGAGAAAGCACCAACACCTACCTCACAGCCCCAAAAAGTGCCCCATCGCACTCCTTCTTCAAAGTCTCCACCGTCCTCTCCGGCAACGCCGCTCCCGTCTTCTGGAACGTCTCAAACCCAGCCTCCAAATCCACAAACGAGAAACTCAATCCCAACGACGAGGGAAGCGCTTCGAGAATACGACGACCGGCGGGGATGACTTCGCGGCCGATGCCGTCGCCTGGGATGAGGCCTCTAGATGTGTCAATTGCTGTTTCGTAGACTGGAAGGGAATTGTGGTACCTATGCGGAGAGTGCGTGCTGCGGCTGCCATTGTGGGGAGGGCGATTGAAGGTGCGGTATTCTAAGGGGAGAAATTTTGGGTGCATATGCATATATCAATCTCGCGATGCCGATGTCGGAGGGACTTCTCGGGCCTGGAATTTTCGCACTGACACTGCCTCCGGTACCTTATCCTGCATAGTAAGGCGTGACTTCACAACAGAAGAATTGATCTCGCTTCTTCCGCCTCGACTCTTGCGAGATTTGGTGATTTGCTCTACTCCTGTTTAGAACGAGCTTTAAGTGTTTGATTCTGTTCAAAGTGGAAGTAGTGGACAAGGCTGAAGGAGATTGAATTATATGTTGTCGGGCAGGTTATGTACGATAGAATAGCTAGCTCCTCCTAGTTATTTTTCGATACAGAATCTAGGCATTTGTGGAATAACGAGCTCAGTCTGCTATTCCCACATTTACACGGCAGTCCATCGGCGTCAGGCTGAAAACACAGCCGGAGAACGATTAGCGAATTTAAGGCGTTCTCGTTAAACGTTACACAGCTTTGGGTTTCTTCCAAATAGAACACCGCTTTGAAGTCCTGCTTTTGAATACACAGAAGACATCATCGTGTAACAGTTTCCTTAACCATTCCCAAACAGCAAAACCCGCTTTACCAGCTTTCAAGAACTCAGCGAATCTGTTGGCACCCAAGACTTCCATCATGGCTCCAAATTTCGATCTCAGAGACAAAGTCATTGCAATCACAGGTGGATCCGGTGGCATTGGGTTAGCAACAGCAATGCTCCTCCTCGGAGAAGGAGCAAAGGTTTCCATCGCAGATGTATCGGCTGAAGCACTTGCAGACGCCAAAAAGGTTCTACTTTCAGCAAATGCAGACGCGGAGCTAATCGCCGAGGTAGTCGATGTGCGGAAGGCAGAACAGGTGAACGCCTGGATAGAGAAGACTGTCAAAGAATTTGGAAAGCTGGATGGTGCTTGCAATTTGGCTGGGTGAGTTGTGACTATAGTTCTGCATAAGATCGGGATGCGAAACAGAGTTGACGGTGACCATAGTGTTATTCCGAAAACTATCAACATAGAAAGGGTTGAGGACCTGCAGGACGAAGAATGGCAATTCGTAATTGACGTTAATCTACATGGAGGTAAGTGGATCGTCGAATTCTGACAAAGGCAGAGAGCTGATGTAGGCAGTGATGTACTGTATGCGTGCGGAATTGCGGAACATGAATGCCAAAGGAAGCATGGTCAATGCCTCTTCTATTGCTGGCATCATGGGATTTCCAAAGAATGCAGCTTACACAGCTTCAAAACATGGTAATTCGCCAGCAGAAACATGGTTATACCTTGTGCTAACATGTCCTTCCAGCGGTGATCGGATTATCGCGAGCAGCAGCAAAAGAGGTAGGTGATAGAGAGATCCGTGTCAATTGCATCAGCCCTGGGATTATCGATACGCCGATGCATCGAGCTAGTCTCAAGACGAGGGACGAGAACCCGATGCCGCCGAGGTGGCAGATTGCGAGGAAGGGACAGGCGGAAGAAGTGGCGGCATTGATTGCTTGGTTGTTGTGTGATTCCAGCTCGTATATTACTGGTTCGGTGCAGGTTATCGATGGTGGCTGGACTTGTTAGCTTATAATGCCCGGAAGGGAAGGCATATATCGCTCGAGGTTTTCAAAGCGCAGGTGCCAGTAATTCGCTGGCCGAGAACTCAGATGACTTTGCTAGAATTCGAGTGCCAAATGCTAGACTAGCTTGCAGCGCAATTGCTCTCAAGTGGGACGAGTTTGCGGAACAGCTCTCAAGGAGCAAGAAAATAACAGCCGCGATCGTCGCCTGTCAAAGATGCCAATCAGAACAATAGAGAAACAGAAAGAAGACAAAGTCTAGATTGGAACGTAAAACATGTTTTTCTTGTTGATGAACAGAGGCAAGTTTAAGGAAAGTTGAGGTCATTGTCGTTGTCGCCTCGAGATCGTCAGGCAAACACATTTTACACCTCAGGAAAGCGAGCCCTCTATCTCGAATCCCAGCAACTTCCTTTCCCCTTTACATTCATTCAATCGAAGAACTTTTTATGTCCATGAGCTTTTGCCAGTCTATATGTCGCAAACTCTACTTGTTTCGCAGACTCTAGGGTCTTTACAGCTTGTTCAGTGCTTTTCACAGCCTCGATTGAAGACGCGTCAATTTCGCGATCGAACTCATGAATTGCGGCCCAGGTTGGGAGCTTTGGCAGCGCCTCGTCGGTTGTTGCAAGACCCTTCAGCGCCCTGGACTGCGCGTTCGTCCTGGCGTATAGAAGCTTGTAATACGTTGTTCTCTTGAAACCTGGCAATTTCGACACCGTGTCTTGAAGCTGTCATGTATCAGCATGGGGTTGAACACGTTCTTTACAACCGACTCACGTCTTCCTCCAGACACTTTTTGACCTCTTCATCTGATGAGTCCGCTCCTGGTTCAATCGCCGTAACGAACAGAGTGGAAGCAACGCCTTCTCTTGAGCCAACCTTACCAGTCAACCCATAATATCTGACGTCGAGATCGGCCAGGTCATAACAGATTTGCGAACCTGGAAGAAGATCGCTCTTCACTCGGATCTTCTTGAATTCCTCGCTTTGCGTGAAGGCCAAGTCTGGCATGGGATAGAATGCGAGATATGGCTTGGAAGCGTTTTGGTCGTTGTCTATGTAGCGGTAGGCATCGCTGATGCCGCTCGTTTCCATGATCTCAGCAATGTGATCTTCATCGTACCTTTCTCTTCGTTAGCAATCTTTTCAAGGTCTACACAGGTTTTTACTAACCATTTCATATAGGTATCGTAGTTCATAATGTCCTTCCTTGAAATCACAGAATTGACGTACAACATCCCGGGCCCTTTGATGTGCGCCATTTTTCTCAGCTTCTGGCTTTGATTGATTCAGCGACGATCCCACCGGGGAGACAAAAATTCGTTCAGACGACGGTTCCAAGATCAAGAGCTGAGTCGTGGTGGACTTGATGCGGAACTTGTTACCGGTTCGGTTAATGTTTGCCTTTCCAACAGCATTGCGGGGCCATGTCCAATCTCGGGAGCTGACTCTAATGCTATCAAATTCGGATTACACTGCTTCGATGATTCCTCCTAGCTGTGCCCGAGCTTGCTGCGCTCCAGACTCCGCTGCAAGGCTTCTATGCGGCGCCGGCGATCATCGACAGCCTTGCGACTACATCCCATTTTCTCTGTAGCAGTCAGCTCGCACAGAAGCTTGCCATTACTATTCTGGGAACTACGAACGGAGTCATCACGTTGATCTGAGATGATGAAAGATAAAATTGGCATCGCAAAGCCTCAGACATCGTCCACCGATCCGCAAGTGACGCTGCTGTCAAAGCGCACATGAGAATCGTAATTGCGTCAAGAGATAACTAAAGACTTTACGCTGCAGTCATGTCATAAGAAAGACCCGGTGCGATTAATGACCTAATAATCGTATCAGGTGCTGTCGCGCGAGGCACTTTGATCAACCTCTGCAGAGAAGCTACAGCTGTGAACCCCCTGGTACATATTCCTGGAACCAAGACAATGGACTCTTACGACCTGCACGACGATCGACTATGGGATCCGAGTTTACTACCCCGTGTAAGCTTAGAGAGAGAAGGTCTCCCAAGACAGGGTCACATACGATTGGCAGCCAAAAAGAAGGCGACTCTTTTCAGCAGAAACCAACACTTCCAGGCTTGAGCGCTTTATCGAAGGAGGATAAAACAAAAACAAAAAGAAAATCGAACATCTGGACAATCTGGGAATTGAACCCAGGACCTTCCCCAGGCCGTTCCCGATTTTATCGAGGTTGCTAAGGGGAAATCATACCACTAGACCAATTGCCCTTGGTGTTGTTCACTGGAAGGTTTTACGCTCCCGTTTCTGTAGATAGAGTCGTGTGCTGTGGGTCCAGGACGCATGGGTAGTATCGATTGGAGATAGCGTCCTTAAATTTTTCAACAATGACAGATTTGGCCGGAAATGTAATTACTTGACCTGAAGGATGCATTTTTGGTCACTTATCTGCTTCAGTTGGGTGCCCTCTCTGCTGTTGTGTTGGCACAAGGATATCAGACAAAAGAATCGGGATACCTACCAATCCTCATGAACGCCCACCTTCTCCATTATATTTGCTATGGCTTCCGTCTCAGCCACGGAACGAGACACTTCAAATCTCTGATATCTCTCTTGAGAGATTGAGCAGAAAAGCCAGCTCAGCAAAGTTGTCGTCGACTTGCAGAACTAGACCAATGTTAGTGTCCTGCGATGAAAACCAAATCAGCGCAAACCGGATAATCATGCATCTTGTCAGGCCGTCCAAGCCGTCTACCACATCTGCTAACCTCAAGCTCTCGATGAAGTCGCGTTGTCATCTCGTGTGGACACTTTCCTTCGATCTCAGTCTGCAAGAACTCGTCCATATCCTGGTGCTTGTAGCAGGTCTAAATTGCTTGCCCAGGAGCCTCATAAGTACCTTGGTGGTAGAGCCAGAAGAGGATTTTGAGGAAAGCGATGGTGGATATGCCGGGATGTCTTTGAGCAATGTCGAGGACTGACAAATCATGAGAAAGAGCCGTCTTGTGCTTCGCCTTCGGTTTTCGATACCGATCGCATCAACGTGTCAATTTCGAATCGTAAATTCCGAGACCTCATAGATCATGGCTGCAAGACCAAATCCGAACTTTGCGAACGGCCACCCGATGGTTGTTGAAACATGTCCTGCAGTCCTGGACAGTCTGATGAATTGTCTGGCTCGGCGCCTGCTACCATCCTCCTCAATTTGCTTTATTTTTCGAATCATTGCCATTGCTGTTAAAGAATTGTTTTTGGATCGACGTGGGTCTACTTGGAACAAAAGGCGAGACATGGAAACGAGGAGTCGACCAACGGGACAGCAAACATAATTCAGTGTGAGAAATTCAGACAAGTTTGAAGCAGTGAAGAATCTGTCAAAGTGAATTATCATAGACTGTGTTAAATCGGAATTACCATCGCCAAAAAATGAAATATGCTAAGAACGCAGACAAAACCCAAGACGAAATTTCTCCTATGCACATAAATCGTGCGTCAAGCTTCTTCAAGCTGGTTTTGCGGGCGTCTGCGGCGCTGGTGCTTCGGGAATTGGAACTGGCACACCGTTGGGAAGAAGAACGCCCGCTGGCGCAGGAGGGGAGGCAGGCTTTATTGCTTTCGGAGACGCCGCAGGATTATTCGTTTCAGGAGACGTCATGGGCCCAGTGGGGCTGGTCGCAGCAGCAGGCTCATTTGGTCTTGGAGAAGGAGCTGGTTCATTCGGTTTGGGAGAAGAGGCAGGTTCATTCGGCTTGGGAGAAGCAGCAGGTTCATTTGGTGGTCGCTGTGTCTGCTGACCTTGTTGCTGACCTGATTGCTGACCTTGTTGCTGACCTTGTTGCTGCTGGCCCTGTTGCTGCTGGCCTTGCTGCTGTTGGCCTTGTTGTTGTCCTTGAGCAGCACCTTGGCCCTGCGGCCGTTGACCTTGAGCAATTCCTTGACCTTGTGTAATGCCCTGCCCCTGGGTGGCACCCATTGTCGAGGGCAGATTTGCAAGATTGGGACCGTTGGCAACAATTCCTCCGATACCTCCACTTTGAGTTATCTGCCCGTTTGCTCCACCTAGAGAAGTCGCTCCGAGAAGAGCAGCGAGATTTCCTTGGACACCTCCACCTTGTTGAGCCTGCTCTTGATTCGAACTTTGTCCTGATGTCTGCTGTCCTTGCCCATTTTGATTAGAGCCCGAAAGCCCCGAAAGACCATTGCCTTGCTGTCCTGAACCAGGGCTTAATAGTGTCAATCCAGTGTTGGAACTGGATATATCTCCGGCCGAGATGCCTCCCACGCCCCCAGTGACAAGAAATGGATTCGGGGAAGAAGAGCCACTGCTGGAAAGCCCGCCATCAGTCAAAAGATTGCCTATACCTTGCGATTGAGGTATTTGTCCGTTCGCTTGTCCGTTGGGTTGAGGGTTTGAAAGAAGAGTCGAAAGATCTTATTGGGGATCAGCTCGACGATCAAACAATGTAGTGAGCTCTCGTACCTTGTCTTTTGCTGAACATATCCCTAGAAGGCCTCTTCCCTGATGTAACCACGATTGGCGCACCAGTGGAAAAAGCAGCAAGGCCAACCAAGGCTGCAGCACACAAATACCTCTTCATTGCAACAAGTTGGACAGGAAATTCGTTGAAAGAAGGAACAGGTACTTCGAGAGGGTGAAAGAAGAATAGGCGCCCTACTTTGCCAGAAATTGGACGCAATGGAGTGAAATAAGATCGTGGAACTTTGGCAGCTGTAAACAGACTTCTAACGCAAAGAGTCTTGTAAAGCATCAATGATACCAGAATGTACGTCAGAGAACAAACATCTGTGTTTCTTACCTGTCCTTCGACAACTACTGCAAGTGGTTGAAATTTGATGCTGAAACTGTTTGAAAATCTGAAAATCTGACATCCGCAAAACTGACATCCAAACTTTGCATTCACGGCACCTTGGCAAGACAGCGCAAGCGAGCGCAAGCGCTGAGGAACAGGAAATGCCTTATCTAGAATAGCTCATAGATGCGATGGTGCGAGAAGTTGGTGGTGAAGAAAGAATACCGACTTTACCACCGACAACAGGATCTCAGCATCCTCGACCATAAAAGGAGGCTCTCACACACCCTCATTGTTACGAGACTTTCAAAGTGAGTATTTGAGAAAAACGTGAGTTTCCTACGGCTTTCTCTATCCGACGCGAAGGTTACTTTGTCGCAAGGGATTCTTCCATCGAGGGCGCGGTCTGGCCAAAGCCGAGGATATGATGTTATGAGCTGGTCCGTGGTGTCCGTTGCTCGTAAACGAGGAATGACTCTGTAGATGATATGGCCCGCTAAGAGAAACTGGCCTTTGTGGTTCTTGGGTGATGACATGTATTCTTTCGCAGGACTCGATGAAAACTTGATTTTTTTTTTGCCAAGATATATACACGTGATCATCACCCAGCCACGCGTCTTCCATCCAAGCGTCCATGATGATCATTTCTCCACGTAAAGGACCATCAGATGCGGTCTACAAGCTTCCTCACCACTGCTTGACACAGCAGAAGTGCCGTCCGTCCCAAGCTACTGACCGTTCGATTTCCCCCATGCAACTTTGTCAGCGGGTCAATTCAACTGGATGTTTCCCAACACGTTGCGCCACCAGCAATAATAAAGAAGAAAAAATGTTTTTTTGATTGGCTTGTTAAAAACCATAACAGCTTTGAGTTTTGTCTTGTCACGGACGCGACGACAGAAGGACACCAGTGTCCCCGAGCGGTCGATTGTGGGTTGTGAACCAGAGGTGAACAGAGCGGAGGAGAAAGGGACGAAAGCTTCGAGGACCGAGGAAGGAGGATAAGCTTCAACCATGTGCCGTTGGAATTTGGAAAATTTGTCGATTGTCAAGAGATTGTGAAAAGGCCGGCTCTGATGGTGTTTTCGAGCGTCTCGTTCACGGCACAGCCACCTTCCTGCATCACTCATGGATGGTCTGAATCGTCGTAACACCCCCTGAACACGTTTTTACGGCCCATGCGGTGAACAGATTGGCTGTACAGTGAAAGACAGTGGGCACTCCACGACAGACGAGCCGAACAGTGACATCTTGCGGGCCGGCCTTCAGTACGACTGTATCATAATATCGTTCAACCGTTGCCGAACCACATTGCCACGCCTCTTTTCTTGACCCGGGCTCAGGGGCTATGTATCCGCAATTGTCGACAGGCTTTCCGTCGGTTCTTCCGTTGATTTGTCCGTTTCCACAGATGGCTTCCACTAAGGAACGTGGTCCAACTGAGACGAGGAGGAGGAGGGGTAGGTTTGCTGGTGTAAGACGCATGGTTTGATGTATAGAGATACGGATGAGAGAAACACGGCTGGTAGAAGGGAGAAGTTGTACTGTTGCAGGATCGAAAAGGATGAGAGAGACTCTGCTGATAAGATTAGGAGAAGTTGGGCTGATGCAGAATCTTAAGGCGGCGATTGAGACGGCGACTATATATAAACTCGATACGTGTTCAATCTACCCTCGAGGTTCGGAAAAATTTGAATGGCCAGCCATGAAGACGAGTGATGTAGATGCCTGTCCCAATCCTTACGCCAGGCTCTTCCTGGACATACTGGTGCCCGGTGTGATGGTATGTATGGGAATGTATGTTGATGCTATGTACAGGTGCCAATGATAAGTGCTATACACTCGATGCCAAGGCGCTAGCCGCGGCCACACTGGCCACAAGAAGGTCGATTTTAGGTCCTACTATTCATAATTTTGGTCCTCCAGCTTGCGTGATTCCAATCAACCTTGATTTCTCCGGGTACCACAGTACTACGGAGATTTGGTGTCCGGCCACAAGAAGGTCAATTTAGAGTCCTGTCTCGGTCCTTCCGCCAGAATTTTCATTACGTATCCTTTCACTAAACGAAGATATTGATTGATCGATCAAGAAGCATCCTTGTGAAGAATCCAGACAGGTCCGAACATTGCAGGTTGTATATTTGGCGTGAACAACATCATCTGTACGTATCTTACATATGAAGCAATGCACTTTTCAGGCTGTCACTCAATGACGTGTTGACGGAAACGTTGGAATGGTGATGAATTGTAGAAAAGAAAAGATGCCCCATAGTACCCACTGATATCAAAGTCTGAGTCGCCATTCTCTGTTGATGGTACAGATGCCTCGAGTTGATCTGAACAGACTCCACCATCTTCAGTCTCCTCGCTGGTAAGCAGTTGAAGATTTCCGGATCTAGCCAGCCATCATGGACCTCCCACGCGCCGTATCATGCTCGATCCTGAAGGATCATTATGGA